TTTAATATATTTAAAATTAACTTTAAAGTGTAAGTAAAATTCCTTCTAAATTTGGAAGGAAAACCATTGAAGGGATAGTAATTATTTCTTTGGAGATTGTAAAAATTTGTAAAGGATTTGGAATTGATATAGTCTTTAAAAAAGGGTTGGATCTCTTTGTTAATAGGATTATCTTGGAAGGTAGGAATGAAGGAAAGAAAGGAGGTATTAGAGAAAGAGATAGAAATTGGAGAAGCATGAAGAGCGGATTTAGCTAAATTATCAACTTTTTCATTATAAGGATTGCCAGAATGTGCTTTAACTTTGACTAAAGATAATGTGAGCTGCTTTTGTTCGATAATTTTGAAGATGAAACACCAATATATATAAAAGGGAGTTTTAAAGAGTAAGGATGGATAAGAACAAATGTTGTTTTTGCGAAATTCTATTGTAAGCAAGAATCATTGATAAGCAATCAGTATAAATTTTAACAGTGGAACCAAAAGGGCAAACAAAAAGAGTCATAAGAAGAACAAAAATTTCAGCGTTAGTAGAGTTGGCCCAAAGAGGAGGCAAAGCAGCAGCAAAACTAATATCTAGAGAATTATGCACTAAAACATAAGCTGAACTAATAAGAGTACGCATAGGTGATGGAATGAATTGATGAGAACCATCAGTGTAAATTCCAAAATTGGTTCGTTAAATAAAGAAACTCTATGGTTATTAAGGGCGGTGATATATTCGTCAGAAACAAATAAACTTTCTATAGTTAGGTATCAGTATCTAAATTTAGATGGACAGGTAGGATGTTTGGAGTGGAAATAGAATGAACCATTTTGAATCTAGCTACAGCTTGATCCATTAAAGGCCACAGAGATCTTTTAGGAACATGCAGGTTTTTAGCATTGCTTTGAACTAATGGAGAAATAGCGATCAGGTTAACGTATGGTTAATACAATGGAAATTAATTCAATAAATCTAAGTTACAAATTTGTTAATATGTTGACTAGCAAACGATACGGAGCACTTTTCTTGCCATAAACTTACGTTTTAACTCTTGATTTTGTTGACGAGGTTCATTATTATTTTGATTTTCCATTTTGTAAAAAGTAAACAAGACGTTTTTATTTAAAAAAAAGTTGTGAAAAGACAAATTTTTATTTGAAATATAAAGTATTTAAAAATATACTGTACATTCATAATTGAAGAAATTACGGGACTACGAGTTGAAGGAAATGATGGTATAAAAATTACCGAACTTGTACATTTTATAGTAACCGACGAAAGTTTTTCGGAATTTAAGTTCTGTATCGACTAGAGTTTAGAAAAGATATTAGACATTCGGATTTCAACCCGGATTCTATCAGATATAATAAAATCCTGGTTGGTTACTTTAATTTTTTAAATAAATATTTTAAAAAGTATTTATGATAAGTTCTTTAAATCATAAAAATTTAAGACATTCAATATATTCAATATAGAAAATGGTGCAAAATTTTTTGTAATAGTCAGCAAAAGGACCAATATCTGATAGAACTGATAATCGCATGTACTATACGAATATCTAATCATTTGAGATTGAAAATCTGCTAACCGAATTAATTTTCATTGGCGAGTATATCTTGAAGATAGGTCAAATGACCTTTAGTTATGCTTAATTATGTATGAAAAAATTGGTAACTGAGTTTATTTAGCTTAGAGTTCAAATGGATTTACTTTGTGTGACTACTTCATCGAAAAGATTTATTTTTTTTCAATCAAGTAGAAATTTCTTTTGTTCCCATTACAATAAAGAATGTAAGAATAGAATAAATTATACGAGGAATTTGATTACTTGTATATGAGAGTTCTTTAAAATTTTTGGATATGGCGTAAGTTTCCTCTTTTATCTACCAATTTAATAATATATATCAAAAAAAAAAAAATAGATTTTTACGTTCTGTAAATAAATTATCAAGATCTAGTTTAATTTATGTTGTAAATAATGAATACCGTAAAATCGTGAAAATAAATCGGTAGGAGTGCTTATTTTTGCGATGCTATGATTTTGCGTAAAGAAGAAAAAATAAGATTGCGCAACATCTGAAAATGATCATGTCATCCTCTAGAAATCTATAAAATACATTATTATTATAGTTTATTTTTAAAGCAGACAAAAACGAAAAGATTTCATTATCCTATCGAAGGTGCTTATGATAGCAAAAGTGATAGGGCTTATTTTCACGATTTTACGGTAGCATTTAAATTTTAAAATTAATTATTTCTTCCTGATAATCACGCGTCATAAATTGCTTCCAAAATAGGTAATTCACACATGATCAAGATTGATCAACTTCATTGAATTTAAGAAACATTTTTGGCAAATGAAATTCAAAGGGGTAGCCAAGATTCATTTAAGGGAAAATTATTGGCTGAACCTTCAACCCCTTTTACATTAAAAACTTTTGAGGTACTCCCGATTATACAATTTCTAGAAATAAACAAAATTTCCCACGTGCCAAATATTTGTTATAAAAATGATTGTAAATCAAAAAAAAAAAAAGTTCTTATCAACTCTCCCCCCTGATTACCTTTATTAAATAATTTAATTTCAATACGAAAAAAAAAATTGAAAGATCAATTTTATTTTTCGTGTTCGCTATTCAACTTTTATTTTTTTTTTTATTATAAAATAAGCCAAGGATATGTCGGATCCAGCAGAAGCTGAGCGTTTGCTTGGTGATGGTCAAGAGCGCAGAAAGGTGAGTTATATAATCTTTTCTTTTCGATTTGATTAAGATTATCCCGTCACACCAAATAATCAAATCTCTTTTTAATTTTAAGGTAAAAAGAGATATATGTGCTATATGTTTTATGGCGGCGCTAATCGTAGGTGCAGTAATAGGATTGGCCGCAGTATGGGCATCGTTGGAAAATGGTAAGAAATTGGATAAAATCCAAAAAAAAAGTAACATATTTATCGGAAAAATTTTAATATATTTACACGTATAATTATTAGTTGAAACTCCTAAAAGGAGCGTCATCCTTATGATCTCTGACGGATTTGGTCCAACATCAGAGACCTTTGCTCGTACTTATAATCAACATGTGAATAAATTGAAATATAATTATGTCTCACCCTTGGATGAAATTTTGGTTGGATCTTCTCGAACTAGATCATCTAGTAGTTTGGTTACTGATTCTGCCGCCGGAGCTACAGCTTTTGCATGTGCTGTGAAATCTTACAATGCCGCTATTGGAGGTTAATATTATCGTGTAAATTTATTTTAAAAATTACAGCAATTTCTAATTTCGCGTATGTTATATACATAGTTACTTCAAAGAAAATACCTTGTGGTACCGTACTGGAATCTGCAAAATACCTTGGTTTAGCAACAGGTTTGGTTGTTACAAGTCGTATCACCCATGCCACACCAGCTTCATTTTCAGCTCATGTGATTCATAGAGATATGGAGGCTGATATTGCTACACAACAAATTGGTGATAATCCCCTTGGAAATCAAGTTGATTTAATGTTTGGTGGAGGTCGTTGCTATTTCTTGCCAAATCGTACAGAAGGAAGTTGTAGAATTGATCAACGTGATTTGGTTAAAGAATCAAACAAGCAAGGATATAAATATGTTGAAACAAGAAAAGAATTTGACGATCTTGAACCTGAAAAAGACAAGTATGTTTTTTTTATTATTATTATTGTTCTTACAAGATTCTTTGATGTAATAATTTTTTATTTTCTATTTTTTCCTTTAAATAAAACGCAGGCTGCCTCTTTTAGGTTTATTTACACTCGATGTAAGTTTTTACTTTATATTGTTCAATAAGGTTACGTTGTAATTGATAATTAATTTAATTTGATGTACATGATGCAAATAGCATATGTCATATGAAATTGATCGTGACCCTACTCAAGAACCATCTTTGAAAGAAATGTCGGAAAAGGCTCTAAAATTTCTTGATTCCGCAACCGCGAAAAACGATAAGGGATTTTTCCTCATGATCGAAGGCAGTAGAATTGGTAATTAAAAAGTAAAATTAGCGTTTGTTTCTTTTTATGTCAAATCAGTTGATTTTAATTTTTTTCAAATTTTTATTCAAAAGATATGGCTGCTCATAGGTACGTATATTATATTTTAGAATCATGTTATATGAAAATATTAAATATACCCACTCTTTGTTTAAATTACAGTAATGATCCTGCTACACATGTTCACGATATCTTGGCCTACCATGAAACAGTTGAATTAATCAAGAATTATGTTGATGAACACCCTGACACGGTTATGATTTCAGTCAGTGATCATGAAACTGGTGGATTATCTCTTGCCCGTCAAGTTAGTCTCGAATACCCGGAATATTTGTGGTAACATATATAATCAAAAAAACAAAACGTTGTTGGTTATTAATTCGTATTTAAAAAAAAAATTATAAATATCATTTCTGATTTATATAATGTAGGTTTCCTGAAATGTTAACGCGCGTAAAGAATTCTTCATTTATTCTTTCACAGGAACTAGTTCAATATTGGAATGAAGATCGTGAAGAATTTATTAAAAATTCGATAATTAATTATGGTTTAGGAATAGATGATGTTCTAGATTATGAAATCAATTACCTACAAAAAAACCATTCTCAGGTGGAATATGAATTCTATTTGGCTAATATGACAAGTATAAGAGCTCAACTAGGGGTAATCATTATTGAAATTTAATTAATTTATATATATCTAGATCTGAAAATTAATATTTATATAATTTTTTTTCTTTTTAGTGGACAACGCATGGACATACTGCCGTTGACGTTAATCTTTATGCTTATGGGAAGGATATCGAATTTTTACGTGGAAACCATGAAAATATAGAGATTGGAGATTTTATTGTTGAATATCTTAATTTGGATCTTGATACCATTTCATCTAAATTAAAGAATTGTGTGTTTTGTTTTTAAACTATATTTTCCTCAATCTTATAATGTAAAGTTACTAATAATAATATTTTTAAAATTATTTTTAGCTACCTTCCATCAACCTACCGATTCCACTCATTACCACGCCGATAAGCATCACCCTCACACTCACGTCTAAATTACGTACTTTAGGTTGATTAATTTGACAGATAATTTATATTACAATATCATATTATAATTAAATTAATATTAAATCATGAGAATTTCCTTAATAAGTCACGCTATTGATGTTTAGGTTATTATCCTAGTTATATATACTTTATACTTTATGTCTCGAATAAACCTTGGGATTAGGAATTCCTAGAATTTTTTTTTAAAAAAATTTGTAATTTTAAACAAATATACATTATTTTTATTTTACTGCATTTTGATCTATAAATGATTTCTTTTTTATTAGATACGAGAAAATTGTAATAATCATGTGTTTGTATTGGCGCAGCAAAGCCGTAAAAAAAAAATAATTAAAGTTCTGGATCAAACAATAATTTATATCTAATTCAATTAGGAATAAATTTTCGAAAAAAAATTTTCAATTTGATCCCTTTTCACTAATTTTTTCCCCAGACTCTGATTGGCTGGTATATTTAACTACCGATGTCACGCCGGTGATAAACCCTAACCCTAACTCTAACTCTAACCCTAACTAATCTCAATTATACCAGCCAATCAGAGCCTGGGGGATAAATTAGTAAACCCTTTTTGCAGCACATCCTAGATTGGTAGATATGGATAATGAAAATCTGAAGTCTCGTAGTTAACAATAAAAATCAAAACAAAAGTATCTATAGAAATTTTCCAGATGTAAGTTATGCAATTTAATCTAATACAGAGAATCTTATTTAAATAATTTTTTATTCTTGATAATAAAATTTCACCCATCAGGATTCTAAATTTTACCGTATATCATAAAATGTTATGCTACTAAGAATTGGCTAGTAACTACTGACGCATAGCAGCCTCAACAATGAAATTAAACATCTGTTACACGGGTCGGAATGGGAAATTAACGATTAATTAATGTTTGTATCACTATAAATTTTAAATTTAACTTTGTTTTGATTGATGGAAAAACTTACTATTTCATAACGCAATAGCATATGTTACCTTTTCTGATGAGAAAGTATGATTGAAGCCTGCCATGCTCCTATCAACTGTAATAAATTCAATATCATTGGAAGACAACGAATTTTACCTAGAACTTACACTCCACCACCTGCTTTTGACTCTGAAAAATTTGTAAATACAAGAAATAAACTGATTGATCATTTTAACGGTTAATTAATTACACGCAGTGCACAACTTTACACGTTTGATAATTGCGAATCATGACTGCAGCGTCTAGGACTTGGATTAACGAAAATAATATGCGGTTCTGCAATTAAAAAATTATTTAGGTTTCCGAGGGAAAGGTCTTATCATGGTCCACTGTCTATGTATTGCACAAAATTGCTATTTAACTTTATTCTGCAGGGACCAGCTTGTTACTTGTATATTTTGAAGGCTTCAAAATGCGGCGAAGATGTGGGAAGTTGTAATTTGAAAAATGAATACTAATATTGAAAATCTGCTAGCCGAATTAATTCGTGCTGTAAAATGGTCTATCGCTACTTGGCACTTTTAAGAATTCAATTTTCGGAACATCCAAGGATCATGAAGAAACGTTGTACATTTAAAATGTCCAAAACATTTTTGAGGCTTTCTTCATTATTTCACAACCTGTCCCATATTATGTCCCATGATAACATTGAATGAAAAAGCCTCGTCCGAGTGAAAAAAATTCGTAATGATCACGTGGATAATTTCATACTCGAATTGGTGTCATTTTTTTTTATGGTGTAAGAATACATATTATTGATAACTTATCACTTATAAATTCCAATATCACGAAGAAAATTAATTTGAAGAGTGTTATGGAAAGGTAATCCTGGTTGGTAAATCTTTTGATGTCCGAATAAAATACACGATCCGACTAAGGTCTCGATTTTTCAAACATCAAGCCCAAGATTATAATCAAGAAATTGAGCAGAAATCAGGCAATCTAATGTTCATTGATTTAGAAAGATTGAGGACATGCAATCTCAGAAAATCAAATAATTTTAGTGGTAACGACACATTTTACACAGTATCAAATGTATATATTATACTTATTTTTATAGTATAATGACATTCCTCTTGGCATTTGTTTCACTGCAAAGATATTTAGATTCCTTCTCAAAACCACGTGAAAATGAAATCATTAAATTCAATCGTGTATTATAACAATAGCAATCACTTCTCTCGTCAATATCTAGATATAAAATAATAAGACTGACACTTAATACTACTCAAACATCGAACACTTAATCGGAGTATCGGAGTAATAATCTGACTCGCCCTACCGGTTACGTACTCTTGACAAAATTTAGGATACGTAAAAATAATTGTGAAAAAAATAAATGTTTAATAAATAAATCTATTGTATTCCTTTTTTTTTTTTAAAAAAAAAAAAAAAAAAAAATACATAAATGCTAAAAGAAAAAAAATAAAGATTGATATTAAATGATCATCTCAAAAATGGACTATCTTACATGGCAAAAAAATTAAAAGTAAATAGTAGTAGTGTATGTATTTCTCAGAAATATATATATAAAAGTGCAAAAAAATTTCTACATCATGAAATCAACTTAAAAATAACGGAAATTAAATTTCAACAAAAAGACAAAAAAAAAAAAAATAAAATTTATACACACTTTAAAATACAAAATTTATAAAATAAATGATTTTGAAATTAGATTTAAAAAAAGAAAAATCAACTTTTACTTTTTTTTTAATTACTCGGTTTGCGGCTTTTCTTCTTTTGCATTGTTATCATTTAAATTATTTTCGACGTCTTGTCTAGTTGCAGCATTAAGTTTCGCATCCACATCAACTGCACCAATCTCTAGTTTGCTTTCGTCGACTTCCGAGCCTTTTACGTTTGTATGAACTTCGGTTTGTCTTTTTTCTGCATTAGCAGGTTCATTCTTTGCTTTTTCCTCACTTTCCAATTCTTGTTTCAAACTTTCTAATGACAAATATACACGATTATTGTATGATGTTCCAGATTTTAATGCATCTTCATTAAACTAGAAGATCGAAAATAATTAGTATATATAATATTTATTCTTGTAGATTCAATAAACGTGTATATAATATTCTCTACCTGAAAATCCATTCCAATTCCTTTTTCATTTTGCAAATCAAGTATCTTTAATAAACGTCGACTGAAATAAAATAAAAGAAACAAATTTTAACATAATGGGATAGGATAGCAAAATTATAAATAAATTACTTACCCAATTCCATTAATTACAGGAACGTTATCTTTGTCCCTTACCCAAACTGCAATTCTGTCACCACGAGCTCGGCGAGACATGACTAAATGAATAAACATAATTAGCTTTCCCATATCTGAGACATTGTACATTTTAAACGGCTTAACTTACCAGCACCACATATATCATCATTTTCATCTAATTCTTCTCCAACCAATGAATAAACAAGCCAAGTCCAACAACGATCTAGTAATTGAGTGTTTCTCATTGAGATTACCCATTTTCCTCCCTAAATTGAAACAAAATAAATTTTATGAATATATTTGCTAAGAAAGTATTTATTTGAAAATAATTACATTAGCATTTGCCGGATCCTCCCACATTGGCTTAATTTTGTCTTTAAATATATGAAAATTTGTATTTAAATCTAATTGACCGGGCTTCTTAACCCAATTGAAATAACGACAAAAGGTTTCGACCTGAATAAATAATAAATTATTTTAATGTTTCTAATAGATAATCGTAAGAATTTGGCAACAATAAATATAATACTCATTTTAATTACCGTATCAAAGGTACCAATAGTCTGTAAATTCTCTTCATACGAAACACTTCCCGTTGGTGTTTTTGGTCCAGGTGTCATGACAGGTTTACTATCATAATACATAGTCCTGCATAATACATTATTATATATAAAATTTCTAATAATCTCTCTGTTATAAAATAGATTATTAGATAATTATATTAATACTAACCAATTGTGCTGAAGAGGATGTGGTTTTTCCAATTCCTTCAGAAACGAAGCTGGTAATCTTTGTGTTTCATCCATGGCAGAGTTAAAACTCCTAGATCTCATCAAAGGAAATCCTCCAGCAGCAGCCAACAAAGGAGAATTATTCGAATTTCCGGTATGACCACCTGAAGGAGTTCTTTGCATCGACTTACTACCGAAATAATTACTAAGGGTCTCAACGGAAAGCTTTGGACGACTATTAAAATTCATATTCATTCGAAGGCTAGAAGGTTTAGAGAAATTTCCCATAATGCTACTAGATTTGTTGTCCCTATCGCTTGGAACTAGGTTTAATTTCGCCCATCGTTCATTACTTTCACGTATATCACGTATAGCATTGTTTATGTTAAGTTCAGCAAAGTTAGGAGGAAGACTTAATCTGTTGGAATTTCTCGAGTTACCACCTTTTTCAGCAATCCAAGGCTGCGATTTACCACCCGAATTTAAACGAGCATCTTGAGAAGAAGATCTACTCATTGAGTCATTGCCAACTCGACCACGACTATTTGGATTGGGACTTTTTGAACGTGACGATGAATCTTTACTATTTGGACTTTTTGAACGAGGTGCAGGACTTCTAGATCTTGAACTTTTAGGTGAACCAAGAAGTTTGTCACCAGAAGGACTTTTTCGACCCGAGGGACTTTTTCCTCGTTTATCGGAACTTTTACTTCTTCCAGGGCTTTTACTACGCGAAAGACTTCTATCTCTAGAGGGACTTTTATCCCTAGCACTCTTGTCTTTTGATTGACCCGTACGTTTGCTGACGATTTCTAGAAGGTCTCCTCTATTAATTGTTGACTGACCGTGACTATTAACACCATCTTTACTGTTAGCTTTCTGTTGAGAAGCAACGATGTTAATTTTTGGAACGGGCGATGTTACTGAAGAGTTTGATGAGGAACGAACATGTTCAGATGGCATTTTGAATAGTTTGCGATGTTTTAAAAATAGGTAAAATGTTCAATAAAATCGAGATCTATGCTTTTTCAGACTTATAAATTTTTACAAAGTTTCCTTGTAAGCCAGCAACAAAGAAAGTTTGAAGTAATTTCAGTTGGAAAAAAAACTTCCCCAAAAATAGTATTGAACCTTAAACCACTTTTTAAGAATATTGAGCATCTTTGTGAAACATGCACAAAATACAATTTGTATGATTTATTTGGATAATATTAAAAACAAAGTTCGGTTACAAGGAATATGTTTCATTACTTGTTCTGAATTTCGTATCCAATAAATTTCGCATAAAGGAAATATTTTTAATTTTGTTGATCATTGTTACAATTGTTACATAAGATGAACCAATGGACTTGTTACACAGTACATCTTATGAATTTCCGAAACTTAGTTTTTGTCTTCGAAACTAGTTTTACTCTGCTAGTTTTGATATTGATAAATTGTGTGACCTGATCTTCAACCGAATTTCGCGATTGATTTAATACCAATCAGTAATTTAGTAGTTAATTAAATACGCTTTGTAGACGTTGTATTCACCCATAATTGAGTTCAGTTTATTCGGATTATCACCACTGTTTTATTGCTTTCAAAGATAACTTGAATACGATCGAGTGGAACTTGTTCTATTAGAAGGCATCTGTAAATCGAAATGAGAGATTTTCACTATAAAGTAGCCAGTTTTAAATTTCTTAACGTTGCCTTTTTTTAATGCGTTATTTTGCTTAATTTGAATTGAATTCCGATAAAAATCTTATTAATTGTCTTTAACTTTAAAGGCAATTTTACTTAAGTTAAAAAATTTAATGTTTATTTAAATAATTTTTATAATAAATAAATTTTTTTATTAATTTACTGTTCATTATACTTTTAAATAAAAAGGTATATAATTATTGTTGTAAGTTGTAAGAGTTACGTTACATACTTCACATCGACTTACATTATATATATGAAAAATAATCGATTCCTATTGGTTCGAATTTAACTTATCACGTGATTTGTATTATGGGTCAATAAAACTTTTTTTTTTATTACTTTATTATACTAAATAACACATTTACATTTTATAATTCGTTTTGAAATTCACCTAAATCTTCATCTAACAATTCTTTTAAATCTGAATAATACAAATCAGAAAAAATCAGATTCAAATTCAATATCAATTTCTTATTTATTATTATTTTTGGTAATTTTTTCTATTGCTTAATTTTTTTAACCCAACTATTTAAAGCAATTGGTTTATCTATTGCATATAATATTCTTAAATTCCAAAATATATAAACAATTTTTTTTACTCATTTTTTCATGCAATCTATTTCATAACTTTAAATAAATAAATATAAATATTAACCAATTTTTTTTATTAGCTGCTAAAGTTATTGATATTGAAAGTATCTGAATAGCTAAATCACTAAGAATCAGATATTTGTTTTTCATTAAATTCTACTAATTCACAGGCTTTTAAATTATATCTCCCATAAGTGACTAAGTGCAAAACCTTCTTTTTTTCAATATATTTAACAAGTTTTATTAAAATAATATTTCAATATTCTTCTTTTACTAATTTTATGATTTCTTTTTTAATAATAGAATTAAATAGCTGTATATTAAGCCAATTACTGTGATATTGTAAATCTAATTTGTAAGCAATAATTACAGCTAGATTATATAGGAACTTTTGTGTTTTGAGCTATAGTTGCCTGACAAAACTCCTGGGTTTAGATAGACCGTTGAATGTCGAAAGTGTCAAAACAATAATAAAATCATATAAACTAACCTGTCGAAACTTGTCGAAACCTATCGAAACCTGACAAGCTATATTAAACAGTCAAAACTATATTATAAACTTATTAAAAATCTGTCAAAATTAGAGGTTTAGACGTTTTAACAAATCCAAAATAGGTTTTTGTCAGGCAACTATATTTTGAGCTAAATTTTTTGATTGTATTACAAACAGTACAAACAGTTCAAATAAATCAGTATTATTTTGTATATATAATATATTTTAAGTTACTGATATTCAAAATATGCAGTTGAAAGTACTAATTCATCTTCTTCTAATTTTTTTTGATACAAATAATAAACTGTTTAAAATTTTTAAGAATCATTCTAAAAGATATATTATGATAAGTAATTTTGTTTCATCATCAAGATTAAGATAATCTTTAGCAATAGTAGCTCGAATAGCTAATTTAAAATGTAATATATAATTAAGATAAGAGTATAGACATTCCTATTATATTTTTTATAAGGTAAAATTAATGTGATTTTCTTTTTATATTTTTCTTTTTATAAGCATTGTAATATAGCAAATGCTATTTTATGATTATGAAAATAAATTAATAATTTTTTTCTTTTACCAATATATCTTTTACCCATTCAATACTAAAAATATCTTTTATCTATAAATAAATTCTATGCATCTAATAGCCAAAGAAGATTTTTTAAATATTTTACTTTAGGATCCTCTATATAATTTTCATATTTGATATATTATTATCTGTAATAACTATAATAAATTTATTAATACCACTTCTATCATAATATTCTCAAGTCCTATTGTTATATTCTCTGCAATATATCATTCTTCTTTAAAGCAATTATTTTATAAAATATTAGTTTTAGTGCTAAAATTATATAATTAATAATAGAAATATTTTGAATATTTATCTATTACTTATTTAAACAATAAGTAGAGCTTTCAAAAAGTATTTATTTAATAATTAATTGCAAATGGTATTTAAAATTAAGCTACATAAGCTGCACAAGTGCAGACATTTTTTAAAATATGCAAATATAATTAAAAAATTTCTGCACATATTATATTAAAAGTTTTAAATAAAACTTGCATAATAATTTGATATACAGTTGTCCTCCTTTATAGTCACTTCCTGTACAATCACATTATATAAATCACTCATTATAAGCACACATTTCGTAAGAACCAATACCTATTAATGCAATATAAAAAACCTCATTATAATCACAGTATTTTTATAGTTACACCCTTTCAGAACTAACGCTTAGTAACAACAAATAAAAATCCCCCTGTATAGTAACTTTTTATTATAATCACACTTTTTATTTTTAGTCCCAAAGGGTGTGACTATAAAGGGCGACGACTGTATGTTGTATCTAAAAAATATTAATTAATATATATAAAATATACATGTAATACTTAATCAGAATCTTATATCTTTATTATTTAATTTGTTTTATTATTAATAAAGTAAATTAATTTCTTTTATCTTTAATAAAATTATATATATAATATATGTGTATTTAAATTGATTTCATATATGCATAGATAAACATGTATTTTATAATATGTGTATATTATTATACTAGTCATCTTTATATTATGTAAGAACTTTTTGACTTGAATTTTAAACACTAATTGCTAATAATTAAATTTCTGATTTAAAAGAATATTTGAAAGGGTATAATGTTATACAATCAACAATTTCATAATTTATGATGCAGCAATATGTATAACTAGAATTAATAAAAATATAATAAAAATTACAAGAAAAATTATATGATAAAAGAGAAAAAATTATTTTATTAAAAGAAAGAAAAATACTTAGATAAATTATATCATAAAAGAAAAAGTTACACAAGAAGTATAATTTTTGGAAAAAAATAATTCAGATAAAGTAATTAGGGTAGTGACATTTATTAGGTAATATAATTTATTATTAACCTTTACCCCCCTATCCCCAAATAATATATTCTAATCACGTATTTACAGATCATTTGCCTTTTATAGAAATTATATATTCATATCAATTGTATCAATTAAAACAAGCTAAAAGTTAATAAAATTAAAACTTTTTATTGTTAAATAAACTCTAAAGTCGTGTTCTAAAATTTTAAATCAAATATAAAACTTTAAAATTATGTTTTAAAATCAGTATTCTAAAATTGTGTTCTAAAAATCAAAATGTTCTAAATCACGTTCATGTGCGATGTCGTAATGATCATGTATAAAAGAAACCTTTGATTTTGTGAACTTTTATAACACATTCAATTTTCATTTATACCTTCAGCTGCAAATATCTTTTTTTATAAAAAAAAACGCATCAATATTTTATTAATATAAAATGAGTCAACAATCTTTTTTATTTAGCTCAAAATTTAACAAAAAATTAATCTATAAGTTACCAACAAATAAATATCAGGACTTTACAAATGCCTATGTATACAGCATTATAATTAAGACAGGAAATGGTACTCCTAACCGTGCTAAAGTTTGTTATGAAGTTGCACAAGAATGGAATAAGATTAAACTTAAGAACAAAACAGAAATTGACGATATAATTAGAATTTACCTTACTACGCCATTTAATCTATATGATATACAAACTTTAGGACCTAGACATCCTGTACCTAGAAAAATTAGAGCTCCTAATGAGTCGAGTTGACTCACGAGTCAAATGAGTTGACTCGAGTTTGAATCGAGTCAAGTCAAAAATTTTCTGACTCATTTGACTCGAATTGAGTCATTAGTCGAGTTGAGTCAATCAATTGACTCGACTCATTTCAACTCGAATTGACTTGAGTTGACTCACGTGAATTGATGTTACATGAATTACCATTTTGGGAATTTTGTATAACTTATTTTGGTGATTTTCCAATTTTTTGATAGCCAAAAATTTACTTTTTAAGAATTTGTGTAACTATACATCTATATTTGGAATCTTGTATAACTCAATTTGGTTCAATCCCGGAATTCAAAAATATATGCTTTAATTGAATATTTTTAACACGTTTTCTTGAATATCTCAGCTTCAAGTGATCTGTTAGAAAAAAAAACTCTCTCTCTTTTCCATCATGCCCATTACTAAACAAAATCCAAAAAACCCAAAAAATTTACAAATGACCCAACCTTATCCAACAAACTTAATAACAAATGACAATAAAAATATAGAACAAACAGCCCTTCCTCTTCAAAAAAATAAATCAAATACCGTTGACGTTCCAGTTACAAACAAAAGAACAAAAATCTCTAACGAAGTTCCTTCTTTGACGATCGAAAATATCATAGACTCTATTATACTTACACCTTCTCCTGAAACTAACATAAGTTCCTCTGTACATCAAACATTACCCTTTCAACAACATATAGAAGATACAAATACATCTACCATGGAAATTGATTCAACAACCTCAACCAATACTCAAAATAAAACAACCAATGACTCGATGTATGCTAATCAACAATCATCTAACTCATCACTACAAAATAATAATAATATCCCTCCATATAATAACAATAACAAAGGAAAGCAAAATGCAATGTGATCAGACGAAGATATTTACGAACAAACATTTGATACCGAAAATTTTAATAAAGAAATGCAAAAATAAACGAATTTACGATTATTATGTCACCAACGCGCTTCTACGCGTCTACAGATTTCAAAGACGTGAATGGTTCAACTATTGCTGAGAAACGTTATACTATCAACAAATTATTCAGCCATTTTGATGATTACAAGAGGTTATACTACAATACGAAACAAAGAAAATTCTATATTTACTTCCAGTCTTTCGACTCCCTAACGCATGCAACTGAAAAAGTCAAAGAATCACAACACAATCCAATTTTTTTAGTAATCAACCCAAACGCCAAACAACAAAGAAAGGATGATGAAAAAGGACGTTGCATAAAAGTCAATAACATACCACTTTTCGTTGAATCAGAGATCGTCAGAAATTGCTTTGACAAATTTGGAAGGATCTGCAGATTTTCCATAATTATAAGGGGTCCATGGCAAATAGCTTTCATCTTATACGAATCCGCAGAATCAATTAAAGAATTTTATGATAACAAATGGTCAACATCCCTATTAGAGTTCTTAGTCAGAGTTGAACCCACTGACCTCAATGAATTACAAATTGCCTTAAGACAACAATTTGAACTGAAGCTCACAGGGCTCCCCTTCAATATATCCCACTTAGACTTGGCCGATTTTTTTAGTACATATAAATGCTAAATCATGTTTCATTTCTAGAGATCGTCAATATAGATTGTGTCCATACGCATACATTAATTTTGATAACGAAGATGATTACGATACAGCTTTTAACTCTCAGCAAAAGTTTAAAAACTGCATCTTATATTGGGTTACACTAGGGATTTATCATTGCATCTGATGCGGATCACCAGATCACGAAACATTTAACTGTAACACTTATTCGACTCAAAATCCATTCAAACCTCTATATGATCGTTTCAAACCTGCCCAATACTGATCTAAATTTAATACACCCTGACCCTCTAATTCGAATTCAAATTCATATGAGAATTGTTCGTTCAAACCCTCATACACAGATACCCTTCGTAACAATAATAATCAATCTGAAACAAAACCTACTCCTATTCAAAATAAATCTTCTCAAAATAATAATTCAACGGTGCCAGACCAAACCAGCCTAAATCGAATTATGGATAGCCTTTCCAAGTTAGAACAAAACTTCAATGCTTTATCTGACGATCTCATTGCTACGAAAAATATAAGCAAAGAACTACAACAAGGTCAATTGAATCTCTTCATGCAAGTTGAAAACATCAAACAAATTTGTCATATTTCTTTACCAGATCAACAAAACAAACCCAAACAACCCATTCAATTCATGGATCTAGATAAATCTGATTCAAACAAGCAATCACAACTTATCCCATCCCATCATTCCAATTCAAACGAAAAACCTTTTTTGTCACGTGACAGTATTATCGAATTACAAGATCAAAAAATCACTTTGCTTCAAGAAAACTTTAATAGTGCAAAAGAAGATTTGACCCAAATCAAGACCGCTTTGATGCAATTCTTTCAAATGAATTCATCTGGTTTAACATGAATACTACACAACAAACAGATCTGTCTCTTTTTCACAGGCTATGTGATCAAGATAATAATTTTAAAATAGCCACACATAATGTCCGAAACTGCATAGCAAATGAAAAATGCAACCAAATTGAACAATTTTTTATCGCAAATAATTTAGATATATTAGGTTTGTCTGAAACACATCTTACACTATAACATTCATATTTAATAACACAAAATTTTAAATCTCCCAACCTTCCATATAAATACATCTTGCTAAATGAAAATCGCTCCCAAAATTGTCAAGGAGTTGGTTTTTGGTCAGTTCATTTATAGAAAAACATATTTTCAATTACCAAGGATTTTACGACTGAATTATCTTCATTGATCTACAAATGAAAAACAAACAAAAACTTAGAATTATTCAAATTTACTTTCCTGCTAATACATCAACTACTAAAGATCATATGAATAGAATCAAAATACAAAATAAGCTCCTAGATATAATATTAGAAGCCAAATCCAAGGGATATCACCATATTCTTATGGGTGACTTTAACATCGACATTAAAAAAATTATTCGTCATCCCGGAAAAGGGATATAAAGATTATATTACAAAACTTGAAAATTTAGGATTGATTAACAATCTTAGTTTATTTTATTCAACCTACCCCACTACATATTTCTCACATAATTCTTTCTCATCGCTCGATTATATTTTTTCTTCGATATCCCTTACATATGATCTCATCTTATCCACATCCCTTAATAATCATTCTTATAACTATAGCTCTGATCATACCCCACAAATTTCCTTTTTCTATAAAAATAACCTTTTCGCACAAAAAACCAACGCATCACTAAAAAAAGGTAAAACATCTAAAACAAAATTTTTATATGAGCAAACTACAGAAAAAAAATGGAAAAGATTCTCTGTAAAGTTATCCAATCTCCTAGATCACGAGAAGGATTTATGTTCATTTGTCAGCAATTCTCTCCCAAAAAATACTACCACCTTAAACCGAGTTTGATTCCAATTCAGCACTATTATCATTAAAGTCGCAAAATCCACACTTCTAAAACAAATAACTACTAATCAACGTTCTACCGATTTTATATATAATCATAATTACTCGTATATATTTTAAACAAACTTAACAAATTTTATCATTCATGTTACAAACAATCTAATTTACAGCTCAATTTCAACATCATAGATTATAACAAGTTTAAATATATCGTTAACAACTTAAATGACCTAAAGATCCCTACCCTTAATATACAAATGGCGTACGACAATAAATCATATCCATCACTTCTCTCTAATATAAAAGATGCCATTATTACACTTAGAACTAAAATTCGTTTGACTGACAAAATAGAAAATGATCAAAAAATTAGAGTGTTTATTCAAAAAAGAATAGACAACTTTAGAGATTACCCCTCCGCAATGATAAACTCTTGCCTCGAACGAAGAAAGAAAACAATTATATTAGACCGAGTTCTAATTAGAAAAGATGGTCATTCAAATTATCTGGAACTAGATCCCACCAAAGTAATGGAAGAAACTAGCCATCATTTTTAAAATATTGCGGATTCAAAAAACTCGAGAAAAGATTCACATCCGTTTTGGAACCTCTGGAAATCTAATTACGATGGTCTTGAATATATTAATAAACATATTTATGATACATTATTGGATGCATCCACTTATAACAAATGGATCGATATAATCAGTAAATTCCCAAACGACAAAGCTCCCAGACCTTCAGGGATGACTTACAAATTAATCAAACATTTTGGAAAGACAGCCTATAAAATATTATTCAATATCTTTGAACTATGTTCTGAGCTAAATAACATTCCCGCTAGTTGGAAAATAGCTTACGTCTACCCAATTCCCAAACCGAAGCCTTGGCATTGTGATTTAAATAATGCATGACTAATAACATTATTCAAATCAGCTAGAAAAATTTACGTTAAACTTTTGACTACAAGACTATCGAACATTATAATTGAACACAAAATCTTAAAAGGATTGAACTTCGCTGGATTACCACATAACTCTACCACTGATCCCCTTCATATAATTAACAATATCTTAGAATCGGCTCGTACTGATAAATTCCGATCCTTTTTAACAAAAGATAACGAACGTGTACAAAATTTAAATATTTTCTTTCAAGATATGTCAAAAGCATATGATAGAGTTAACATTTTTATGTTACAAAAAACCTTGCTTGTCTCAAAATACCTAGTACATTCATAAATCTCGTTACAAATTTATTTACCAATTGAAAAAATAGCGTTTTTACTTCACACAGATTATCTCCAGAATATAATGTTTAGCGGGTATCGACTAAGAAGAAATAATTTCCCTCTTTTATGGGTAATCTATTATGATCCCCTATTATGTAAAATACAAAATGTTAATTTAGGATATGAACTCTCTCAAAAATGGCAACCCAATATCAACGAAAATAGTCTGAAAACAGATTCAATCAACATCGTAGTCATAGCATATATGGATGATACTACATGGATCTCCAATAGTGTCACCAAGCTTGAAAAAATCATAGACATCGCAGATACATTTTATCAATTAAACGATATTCAGGTAAATATGGATAAATCATTTATAATCACAACCACTCCAACACATAGCAGTCATACTATACTAAATTTGGAATCAACCAGAAAAGCGATTAAGGTTCCGACTTGCACCAAATCCTCATAACATAGATATTTAGGAGTATGGATCAGTATAAACAACAATAAATCTTTCATCATTAAACAATTAGTAGATATCGTAGCCGATTTCATAACTAAAATCAAAAACAAATCTATGACTGATAAAATGATCCTCTATTTGAACAATACGGTCTTAATTCCAACTTTAGATTATAGAGCACAACTGACTTATTTATCAAAAAAGGAATGTGATAAAATATTTGCGTCCATTAGGACCCTTAAAAACATAAACTGAAGTTCAACAGGAGCATCCCAAATAGTCTGCTTAGAAATAATCTCATCTATCGATATAGAGAATTTTTTGACATCCAATTGCAAACCAAATATGACCATATAACGAAGTTAGTTAATCAAACAAATTTAGTAGCGGATACTTTCCGAATTCGTTTAAGACAAATACAGTTCTAGCACCATTTACATGATAATTCTTTAATAGTCTGGAAGAAATCAACGAAAGCTCTTAGAAGATCAATTCTATTGGAATCTCTTATTAACAGTATACACACGTCAAACATCTCCTTTACACAACTTTCATCAGATTCTTTTCGAATTGTAGGCAGCATAACTCCCCTAAATACAATAATTAACATTACAACGAAAGATCTAAAATCGCTCAAAATGCACAATATTTACTTCTTTGAGCAATTGTTTGTAGGAAATAGTTTATATTTGATTCTATTTACAGATATTAAGCATAAGGCGTACAATTTATCAACATGTAATATGATTCTAAGATAGTACGAAAAGCTTAGAAATAAAGTAATGGAGACTCCCGTCATCTTATATAGACTGCTACCAAATTTCGCTGCTTCTGATCCTCAGCCATCGAATTTTATCGCTTCAACATCATTTCAAACAATCAAAAGATTTCACTGGACATCGATGTGGGATGAACAATATAAACAAATCAGAATCAGAAGATCACACAATGTTCCATTAATCTCTCACGTAGTTCTTTTTCACCACTTCGATAGAACAAACCTACTTAATGACCCCAGATCTCCCTCAAAGTGACAACATACTTATACGCCATGCCCTGGATGCCACTTAAACTCAGTAGAAGAAAAAATAAAATCTAAATTAAAAAGTGTGTAAATGATGCTTTGCGGGTTTTTTGTCAACAGAAACTTAGCCAATGTAATTGATATGTATGTATTACTAGGCTCAAACTCAATTCACACAGATCGTATATATCTCACACGCAATTCTTTGTATACCCTCTCAGATCAAACGCTTTTTGTTCACAATAAATTTTATCACAATACTACCCCTTCGAATAGTTTAGACATTTCCACTGACTTTTCTTATAACACAAATTTTTTAAAAAAATTCTTTGCAAACCAGCCAGTTTTTTATATACTAGATGATATCAAAACAAAAATTTATTTACTACATCTAAAGATGCCAGCCGAAACTCCCTCAAAATAATTTTGTCATATCCCTTACTATGTTTTTAATATAGTTTTGGCTAATTTCAGATTTCGGGGTTTCGTCGTACCTCTCACTATGTTTTAATATAGTTTCAGCTGTTTATTAATTGCCTTTTTTGAGTTTCGTCCCTCATCTTTAACTACATCAACAAAACCCTCAAACTTTAGAATTTTACACAGATGGTTCCCATCAGTTTAACTCTGACAGTCTTATTACTTACCTCAGTTCAGCTCTCACATTAGTTTTAGATGATCAGGACGTTATTTCTTTCGCAACTGCTATTACCTCAATCTGGTCTAATTTATCTCATGCTAAAATTTTTGTCATTTTATTAGTTATCTTACTCACACCTCCTTGTTCAAATATAATAATTTACACAGATAGTCTTTCATTAATACAATCATACAACAAAATTAAAAAACATAATATCTTAAATTATCCTTCTCTCCTTTTCAAATTACCCTTTTATATTTATTGGTCATATATTTTTTTCCTAATTGATGTCAAACCATTAATGATAACATTTGTTAAAGTCAAAGCACATTCAGGTATTAAATAGAACAAACACGTGGATGATCTAGCAAAACAAGCCTTAGGAAATACGCCTATATCGATTAATATTGACAATACTCCTCACGCCAGATTTTTACCAAAGTTTCAGAATTTACCAATAAATATTTCAATTCGCTCATTCATCAAAAAAATATCCAGAACTCAAGGATTCATAGATTTTTTCTATCTAAAAAGAAATATCAAATACAACCACTTTCATATAAATTGGCTATGCACTTTTAATAGTATCAGAGGCAATGATCCTGTAGGTGTAACTTCTACCAAGGAATCCAATAAACATAGTAGTAGAGTCAAATACTTTATCGAACAGCTTCCAACCATTGAATTTATGAAATCCACACAATCTCACATTTACGATCAAACATGGAAATGCTGTCTTTGCTCTCTGAAAGATGAAACTTTCAATCATATTTGGGTCTGCAACACAAATACACAATTAATGGCTGACATTATTTTAAACACCAAACAATATTTATTAAATCAACTCGTTTTACTCAATCACGTTCCTTTCGACATTTTATATCAATACATAGCCAGTGATGATATTTGGATTCTATTCTCCAATCAAAATTCCCTTACTTTTATAGATCTAATTAAAGGAATCATACTCTCAAAATTTTTTTGACATCATCAACAATATCACAGATTCTAATAAGCAAACTAATACCATTATCAACAATATTACCAGTTTCCTTTTTGATCTCACATACGAAAAAATATGGATTCCTCACTGTAAAGCAACAATCGAAAAAGAGAAATCCCTCAATATTTTGACTTCAAAGAAAAGAATATATGACTGTAAATCTAATTTTTCATTTAATCATCACGTATTCCCGCCACTTCTTACTGCACAACCTGTTTTTTCAAATTGGATCGAACTAGTAAATCTATCAATAACTCATGGCAGAAATTGGACTCTCTTCTTGGATCAGTAATAGCTAGTTGTCATTTCTTTTATTTTAATGTTATTTTCTTCAAACTTTCACATAAAATTAGATAGTTATGATAAAGGTGAGGATTATCCTCAAATTTTGAACTTGACAGAACAACCAGCTGGTTTGGAGGGGCTACAGTTCTTTTGGTTTAACAACGCCTCTAGGCAATAATTTTTTTAGAATAGATCATATAAATTTCTTGTTTGTTTTTACTTCATTTAATTTGATTTATATTATATATTAATAAAATTATATTACCGCGTCTTTAAAAAAAAAAAAAAAAAAAAAAGTGATCTGTTAGAAATGCAATACATATTATTTTGATGAGCGCATCTCGGCAAACACGATAGTGCAGATTTCACAAAATTCAGATCGGTAGATCTCAAGATAATAGCCTTCGAAGTCAAAAATCAATTTTTTAACACATTTTCTTGAATATCTCTGCGTTCAGTGATCCATTAGAAATGCAACACATATCATTTTGATGAACGCATCTCGGCGAATACGATGGTGCAGATTTCATGAAATTCTGATCGGTAAATCATTAGATAATAGCCTCCGAAACATTAATATAATTTTATTATTTTATTATTTATATAATCAGCAAATATATTTTGGAAGTTTTTATTTGACTTGAGTTGAGTCGAGTCAAATTTAAGTATAACTTGAGTCAAGTCGAGTTAGAGTTTTAAAATTTTTTGACTCAACTCGACTCAACTCGACTTAAATTTTTTGAGTTGTGTCGAATTATCTTTAAAACTCGATTCGACTTGACGACTTGACTCATTAGGAGCTCTAGAGAAAATCCAATTCTGATTCCTACTTCTTTTACTATTCGTTCAACAGATCCTGTATCAGAAATCCCTATCAATGCATCAGCTCAAAAAAAAAACAACAAATGAAATAACTATAGCTAAAAGAAAACTTACTGAATTTGAGCAAATATATAATATTATAATTAATTTTTAACTTTAGCATGATATATATATAAAAATAGAAGATCTTTGAGCTGAAATCAAATCTAACAGAGAGAAGATTATTAAGTTGAAAAAGAATGCAGATTATGCTCAGAAATGTAGTGAAAAAAAGAAAAGCACTATTGAGAATCATGAGGTAATATAGTATGATAAACCTAGTTATCTTTTACTTCTTTTTAAACATCTGAATTTATACGATCATATCCATAATTCAATCAAGTTCAGGACAGCTGATGAAAAAAGAAGGAAAGAGGTAGTTAAAGTTTAGATAATTGAAAATCTGCACAAGAATTTGAGAAAAACTATAATGTTTACATGGCAAGAACAACACTAAATAATTACCTGCTACCTCATCAAGCCAATTTGATTGCAAGAACGTATCATCATCCAGCATGGGTAGCAGTAGCTGAGACCTCTCACATAGAAACACAAGACCATTCTGATAGATATAATTGCCTTACATCTGTTAAATATGCAAAGCAATTTGCTTTATTATTTGCTAACGTGAGTATTTTCATTTCTCAAAACAATAAAGCGAAGATTGACCTAGATGCAGTGATGTACATGGGACAATGTCCGATATGTAGATTGGGACATGAAACATTTTGGGACATGTCCAAATGTCCGTATCCTAGAATGTCCCAGCTTATTGATTGTCATAAGGACATATCCCACTAAAATTTATTTTCGGACATGTCCCATCTATGTCCTAATAAATTTATAGATTAGATTTTATAAAATCTATTTCTCACATTTT